CAGACTGTTCATCTATCTCCTGGCTGTTCCATGGCACCAGATGACATTGCACTTTCGGCACAGCAATGCTGATCTGACGGGGGAAATTGGCGATCAGAGAAAGGAAAGTTGCCGTGGGGGTAGTATGGTTGTTAGGGAGTAGTTTCAAATAAACATAGGTTTTGGTTGTGGTTTCCTTTACTTGCATGATTTTAAATGCAGTTGGTGGAGGAAGTAGGACTTCTTGTTCGTCGTAATGGGAAAGGTGCGATATGTCTAAGCCGCCATTTTTGGTCGCGTCGATGATGAATAGGGTATTGCCGAAGTTTTGGGCTTTTTGGATATTTTTGCTAGTTGAGGTAAAGCCGCTCCAGCGTCTGGTTTTGCCGGTGGCTTCGGTATATGATTTTAGCGTGTTCTGATCGATGTTTGCACCTCGGTAAAGTTCTGCTGCGTGTTTCGTATCGGTTTTTAGCCAGCTTCTGAATAGAATGTAACAAAACGGTCCCAAAGTGTTTATTTTGCTCGTGTCGGTTTCTCTCAGTGCTTTATTTATTAGTTTATATAGAAAGCATTCCATTGTGTATAGCTGAATGCAACACTTGTAAATTTCTTCTGTTTGTTTGTTTTTCACGGCTATTATTTGGCGAGCTATATATTGTGAGTCACAATGTTGGTCTAGTTTCTTTCCTTCGATAATTATGCCATTCGCTGCCTGCTCTACTATTTCAGCGTCAGAAAATTCCTTGTCTTTCTTCCACTGTGAAAGAAAAATATAAGCTTCTTCGCCCCAGTCATCAGTGAACGTTTTACCCAATTCTGGTGTGAGAAAGAATCTTTCTTGTCTTAAACCTTGGCTTTCATTTGTACTAGTTAGAACCCGTTTTATTTGCCGTTGTTTATTTGGATCCGATTTACTGATTTGAACGGAATCGTTTAAGTTAATCAAATAATTATCCAGTTCAGCTAGTTTTGTTTTATTCTTTTGATTAAATGCTTCTTCGATAATCGCTGATTCGATATCAGAATATTTTATCCATTCTTCATTTCCATTTGTTGACCATGGATCAGAATCTGATTTCCAATACCATTGAGCTCGTGGTTGATCAGCTCCTTTTATCACCTGACTTACCATTTATTAGGCTGTTTGGAACTGATGGGTCCTAGAAACGTCCTCTAGAAAAGACACGGGATAAGTAGCAGGATATTCTGTAATTGAAGAAACACTTGTTCAGCTTTTTAAAACCAACTCTGATTATGTTTACATTCTATTCATTAGTGAAACTGACACTTGTTTTTGCAGTTTAGTATATAGTAAAAGTGTAACGAAATACATCTGGAACAGAAAACAAAACGTTTCAACCAAGGTATCTTCTCTATGGTTTAGGTAGTACCCAGGCCGATGATTCCGAAGACAAGTTCCTGAAAGATCCGACAGGATCCGACGCCGGAACATGCCGGGATCCGATGAAATCTGGCACAATCCTACCAGAAGCATGCCGTATTATGTCGGAATCCAGACCAGTGTTGTTTGCAAAGTTCTTAATGAGGCACGCCTTCTTATGCAACAAGTAGAAGCATCAAATGACTGCTTTAGTTTCAAGATTAGGGCTCAAATTTTTCGTTTTTAATCTTCTTATTTGGAGGCTCCTGAATCTGTATGAGAGAGATGCTTCCAGTGATGAACGAACAGGACAAGTTGATATGTGATCATTCACCCCGAACAGTATCAACAACGTTGACGTACTCATATGACATGAACGAATATTAATTGCAATCAACTGCGTATTTTTCTAATTTAATCTAACAATCACACAAACAACAGCGTCATGATGAACGCAGTTAGAAAATATCGACTTCTTATTCTTATTCAAAATATCGTTTCTTATTCTGATGAAAGTGAAACAAAGCAAAAATGGTATGTTTTCTTTTCACTCAATGTCTTTCTAAATTGAATTTCTGCATCTATTTACACAACTGGAACAGAGACAATATTCTCAATGACTTTTTATTCTATTATTTTGTTTTTAAACTCATTTCTGCCCAGAGAGAATTATTATTAATTCCAAGAGAGAAAACTTTGATATTTATGTCGACAGACATTATGTGTTTTTGCTGAGATTTTTGTTTTATATTTTCTTTCTTTCGTTCTTTCGTCCCTTTTTTAGGCAAAATGTCAAGCGAGAAACAGCTGAATTTAGTCTATTAAATTCAAGTAAATTCAAAATTCACCTGAATTAACTAAAATAAATATTTACGTAAATATTTACGTGAATTTGGATGAATTTAGGTGAATTTTAGGATTTTAGGTGAATGAGGATTATTAACAAGAGCGAATTGCTTTGCGACCGTCATAAAGTTGCGGTGGCACTCGACTTTGTCTTAACCAGGCTATCCAGGAACCTTTTCAGTACCTCTTTGTGATCTCCAAGTGTCATACAGCAACAATACTTCTCGAAGAATATGCTGATTTGCAAAAACTGAGAGAACTTTCTGAATCTTATTATAGGCTTTAATAGATGTGAAAGAAGGAAGAAAAAAATCACCGATTCGTCTTCTTAGAAAATGGAATTCGATTTTCCAACTATTTAGAAAATCGCTGTCGAATTTCAAGAATGTTGGGATTTATTTATAGAAAATCGATTTTGATTTTCTATATGCCGAGTCTTGTGGCAACGTTTGTTGAAGAAAATTCAAGAGCCTAGTGAAAACTTATACTAGATAGAATAACCCATTTTCGCCTATTTTCATCGAAAACTAAAAGATTCATAATTCACTCTACCTTGATGTAAACTATGGAAGAATTTAAACATTATGCATCATATAGACTAGATTTCAGCAAAAGTTTTAAAATGAATAGAAAGTACGTTAGTTTTTAAAAGATTTTCCAAAAATCTTTGGAAATAAGAGAATGCATCTTTTGAACTCTTAACTTCAGGAACCGGTTTTAAGCGGACCAGATCGAGTATAAATTCTGATATAGTTTGCATCGATTTAGAGTAAATTATGAATCTTTGCACTAATATATAATAGAAAAGAATGTGATAATGCCAGACAGCTGTGTGAACTGCATTCTCCCTTGTCTCTTTCATGTTTGACGAGCATCTGCGTCTGTACGACTGTAGAAATCATATAGCCATCCGATAGCCATTGTCTGTGTGAGTAAAAAGAAGAGAAATATTATCATGACTTTATAGCATACAAAATGGACTGAAGTATGTTCGTATAAATGTTAAAAGCTTTTTCAGTAGTCAACTATCATATTTTAATTATTTTAAAATTCTAGAAACCATAAAAAGTTCAATAATAAAGTTTAAAACTAAAAAAATTGGAATATAAGCTAAATCAGAGAAAGGGTTTTCTAAAGACCCTCTAGAAAACCAAAACTACATAGTATGTAAATATTGTCAAACCCCTACGTTTGTTCAGTTTTAAATTCTCTATCGATTGGCGTTTAAACCAGCTTTATATCGCCTATCCATCTTGAGTTATTTAAAATTTTAAAACCGATTTACAAGTCTAGATTTTGTGTTAGAGACTTGAGTTTTTTTAAAATGTTCGTCTTTTCATGCTGAATTCGAATATCATATTGAAAAGTTTTTTTTATAACGTGCAGTATTTTACAAAACTCTTTTTTATCGATACTTGTAGCTGAAAAACCACGGTTTCCTAGAAACCGTACTTCCAAAGCATTTGGAGAAAACTTTCTAGAGACAAAAAGAAAGAGCGCGTCCAGAAACCCTTAAGAACCAGAGGACAGCTCGATACGTTCAGCCATTCTCAGCATAGTCTATGCCAACTTTGTCTTGGAATACGCCTATTGGTTTTGAAACACAAATCACATGGATCCGGCAGTCTGTCTATGAACACACTTTAAGGAAATTTCTGCTAAACGTAACTTAAAATTGGCACTTTTGTATGTAGTCTTATCAGAATTCGAGATTGGACATGTCCAGTATCTGATTCAACTTTGACTCGGGATTGGACAGAATCAGAGTTTAGACTCTGACATAGACACAGACTGGCGGATCCATGTGATTTATGTTTGAAAACCAATTAATAACCAATAATCATCGTACAATCGACTACGATTGTACGATGATTATTACGTTTACGATCAGGGACAGTTTGAGTCGAAATGTTTGTTATACTGATGTTGATGGTGCTTGTTGACGAAAATTAGATCGTGGTAACTGTGACGAAACCGATGAATCTTGTGAATGTAATACAGATGATGATTTGAACGTTTGAGTAGTCTGATACCACTGTCATTTATGTTCTGGTGATTATTTAGTTAAAGAGATTTATCTTTTAATATAAGGTAACTTTTCTAGAAAATTCTAATGTTAAAATCAGTTATAGAAGATATTGTTAACAGCCTTGTATTTTAGTTGAATTTCCTTAGAATGTGCATGATAAGAATCGGTTTGTCGACATACTGATGTAAAAATATCTGAATACACACGTTAGTTGTCCAAATATATTCAAATGACATTCAAGTGGTTTTGGTTTATTTATTTTTCCGACATGAGGGAAAGAACTCAAGTCAATTTTTGTCGTCCAACTTTTGAATAGCATTTTAAACTTTTTGAGTGTTCGACTTTTCAATTTTTGAAATAGAAGATACTGTCGAATAACAATCCTTGAATACATAATTTCAAGAATGTGCCTCTGCTAGTTGTTTCTTTGTGTCCTTGTTCACAGAGTTTATCAATTAGGCCAGCTCAATCATTCTTTGTTAACTGAATGCACAATCAAACTTGAACGAAACTTTCAAACATTCGCTCATCCTATCAGCTAAATCCGGTTTTTCTTTTGCCGTTAGGGAAAACACTTTCCCGTTATTGCTACTGTAATGGGTTACACAAATTCGTTAGCTGTTACCAGTGGATGAGGGTTAGGTTAGGCTGACGAACTTTTCTTACTATTAATGGTAACAGGTAACGGGATGTTACTTCTGGAAAAGTAACGGATAAATTATTGTTTTTTTGTTGAAATTTTATTTTTATGCTAGAAGATACGAAAACCATGTCTCGGTTGATTACCATTTTCAAATTTGATATAATCTATTTATTTGAAAAAGAAAGAAATCAGCAATTTTATACTATCTCTACCCACCGTTTTCAGATTTAAATTTGCTCAATCCTGTCGAGCGCTATAAGATTTCTACGGAAAGAATCGGATATTTCTTTTGCAAGGCAAAGCTTAAAAGGTTTCGAGGAAAAAAGATTTCCACGCGGAAAATGTAGCGGTTGCTAGTTCCTTATTTGAATATAGATTGTTTTCGAACAGCTTAAGCTACCAAAACAGAGGCTATTCTGTTAGAAAATAGTGTAAAATTACATCGGTTAAGAAACGTTTAATGTATCATGCTTTTCTAATCCGAGAAGTCGACAACATTGGTTCCTTGATGCTGGGCTTTCAGCTTGGACTATAAAATTCTGTTTTGAACTAGACGGTGTATTGTTTTCTTTGTTTTCTATTTGCCACCCGTCGTACCCATGCCCAGGGCTGTCTTGAATGTATCGTAGATCCACCATTGTAGACCGGTCAATGTACCAATCATGAGCACTCGAGTACCGAGACCCTATTTTTTGTGAAAAAAACAAAAACAAATCATTTCATTTCTTTTTCTAATAGTAAAACAACGAACCTTTGTGGCAAGTTTGACGAAGCCGGTCTCACTGATAATTTGTCCTAGGCTCTTGCCTTTATTGGCAGGTTTGCCAAGAAGAGAAACTACCGAATCGGCCGGGTGTGAGACAATGGCACAGATCACACCGGCACTGTAACCCGAAGCAAATGTAACGCCGAGTTGAGTAGTTTTTGAATAGGTGTCCTTCGGCTGGGTAAACACATACGTATAGAACAATTGTACGACCTGAAGAGAGAAAAAAATAGTGCAAAATAGAACGAACGATAGAATGATAGGGAAAAAAATGATGTTGAAGATGTGTTCGTATCAAAATGAAAGTGAAAATTGACCTTAGTTTGATCTATTTCTGATATGGTATTTGCATGAATGCAGAAAGAAAATAGGACTGACCTTCTCGAAGAAGTAGAATTTGGCCACAGTATATGGGATTTGTCGTGACCACAATGGTACGAGTGATCGGTACGGAAAACCGGTATCGACTCGTTTGGCATTCATTTCTGACCATGCCGGACCAAATGCAACCGGAAATGTTCCGTGGGGTGATGTTTGTACTTTGACCTTGACCATCTCCAGTGGACATAAAGCGATATCGGCAAAGAATTCAGCCGAGGCAGAAGCTGCACACCAAATGAGACCCTTGTATTTGTCATAATTGTCCTTACCGACCATGTTTGCATATTGATCTTTGAATATTTCATAGAGACCATATTTGAAAGCACCTTGAGCTGAATAACCGAAAAAAGTTGGTAACCAGCCTTTCCAAACAGCACGACTGCCCTCTTCGGCAACAATAGTTTTCAAACCCTTGACAAGACCCTTATATTTGTCCGGATTGACCTAAACAAAAAGAAAACTGACAATTGACTGACCACCGTTCTCTCACTAGTCAAGATAAGCTGGTCTCGATAAACATTGACACACACTCTATACGTGCCCAGCAGTCAGTTCTCTAAGGTACACGATGCATCGATTTCAAATTAGCGTAATCCTTTCACAGTGTTTCACTCATGGCTTCCTTGTCCAACCTCATACGAACGCCACGAATAGTATACACACAACAGAACAGAACAAAATTCTACAAAAAAGATATCTCATTGTTAATTCTCTTCTATTGCTAAGAACAAAACGCACAAAAACACACCACTTCATGGCCAGTCATATACATCGAAGAATACCAAAAAAGTCTACTGTGGAGCACGTCATCGGTAGTTTGCAAAAATGTCATACAAGAACATTTTCACAGTTGTTTTCTCAAATTTCTTTTTGCAAGATTTGAATGTTTTCTTTTTACTGCGGAACAATAAAAAATTTTTGATTTATTTTTCAAGAAAATCCGTATATGATAAATATTCAAGTCCTAGGCAAGACTTTTGATCGTATTAAAACCATTGAAATTTCGAGTTTGGACAACTCACCTGCATGTTACATTTTGTGACATCAAGTGGACAGATAGCAGTGTGAGTGAGACCACACGCGAGAATGCCACCGAGAAGACATTTCGAGTAGTACGAAACATCGTGTGGTACATGGCCAGCATACCGAGAATCCCATTTAGGCATAGTCGTCGAATCCAAAACGCGCAATTGAGATGTTGATGCAACCATTTTCGAGCAGTATACCAAGATAAGATCTAGAACAGAATTGTAGCACAGTGGGCAATTTGTTTACCCAAGAACAGAGAGCGATAGGACGTATATCCAACAACTTCAACGATAACAATAGAAGTGCTCACAGTTACAAAAGCGTTCTACCCTTAACAAAGAAAACGAAAAGAATCAGACGAAATATGCACGTAAATAGAGAAAAAGTGAGAGAAAGTACATGAAAAACGAACATATTTTTGACCTGGAACAAAAGAGTGTAATAGAACAGAAATATTCATTCGTATTAAAATTATTTTCTCATAAGTCAATCCTGAGAAGCGTTTGAACAGTCATTCTCAAATCCAGCTAACTAACCAAGAATTTGTTATTAAACTAAGTTAAAAAGTGTCGTGTGAGCACGGCTTTAATCCAGTTCTATAAACTACGTTAACTAACCAAGTTGGTAAATTCTAAACTAGTTTTTTAAACTAAGTGTGTTCACACGGGAAAAGATTGGAAAGATTAGGATTCAACCAAGCCAAAAACTGTTGTGTGAATGTGTTTTTATGGAAGAAGAATTCGACTATGTGAAACCTCCAGCCGATACGGTTATTCGGTAAACCATGGACTAACCAATCAACTCACAAAAACACACTAATGCGCGAACAGAAAGAAGGACGGAACAAAATCCGGATAATAATGCATGAGCGAGTCAGATAACGTTTATTAAATTTATTCAGTTTTTAATTCTCTATTCAACCGCATTTAAACCAACTTTCTATCTCCTTTGTGAACTGACCTATTTTTATTTTAGAAAACGTTGCATTTTTTAAATTTTAAATTAACATAAATTCAAAAACTGAAATTCTTAGTTAGAGACACGATTTTTTTTTAAAATGTTCGCCTTTCAACACTAAATCCAAATATGTTATTAAAAATGTTCCATGTCTTAACAGTGCTTTTTAAAACCCTTTTTAAGAAGTACAAGTAGCCCCAAAATCATGGTTTTTGTAAGAAATGCATAAGATCCCTATTTAGAGGAATCCTATAGGATTTTTGCTACCGACATATCAAGAATCCTTTAGAATTCCTGCTGTAGGATTTTACAGGATCCTACAATAGGAATCCTATGAAATCCTATTACCAGTAGGGTCCTATAGGAAACAATATTGTTTGACCTCGGCAAAATTAATGTATCCTGACAACATCGCAAAGCTGATCAACAGCGATACTCAGCCATCGGTCGACGAAATGAGAAACAGTGTTTCTAATGAGAATTGTAATCAAAATGGATTGAACCACTTTGCTCTGAAGCCTAAAGTGGCACTAACCACTTTGTGCTAAACTGCAAAGTGGTCTCGAATAAAGTATCAGCAAGCAGCGTT